GGTTCTGGGCTACTGAAGGACTTTGCTCATACATCAGGTTAGGTTCTGGGATACTGTAGGGCCCTGCTTATACAGCAGGTTAGGTTCTGGCTACTGTAGGGCCCCACTTATACAGCAGGTTAGGTTCTGGCTACTGCAGGGCCCCACTTATACAGCAGGTTAGGTTCTGGCTACTGCAGGGCCCACTTATACTCAGGTTAGGTTCTGGCTACTGCAGGGCCCCACTTATACAGCAGGTTAGGTTCTGGCTACTGCAGGGCCCCACTTATACAGCAGGTTAGGTTCTGGCTACTGCAGGGCCCCACTTATACAGCAGGTTAGGTTCTGGCTACTGCAGGGCCCCACTTATACAGCACATTACATTCTAGGCTACTGCTGTAGTGAAAATCACTGTAAAGTTAAAATTGCTGTGAAATTACATATAAAAGTCTGATAACATGTTTACACTATCATACATTAAGTGAACAATAGAGCTAGGCTTAAAACATGCATATACACTATCATAAAGTGAACAATAGAGCTAGGCTTAAAACATGCATATACACTATCATACATTAAGTGAACAATAGAGCTAGGCTTAAAACATGCATACACACTATCATACATTAAGTGAACAATAGAGCTAGGCTTAAAACATGCATATACACTATCATACATTAAGTGAACAATAAGCTAGGCTTAAAACATGCATATACACTATCATACATTAAGTGAACAATAGAGCTAGGCTTAAAACATGCATACACACTATCATACATTAAGTGAACAATTTGAGTTAGGCTTAAAACATGCATATACACTATCATACATTAAGTGAACAAAAGAGCTAGGCTTAAAACATGCATATACACTATCATACATTAAGTGAACAATAGAGCTAGGCTTAAAACATGCATATACACTATCATACATTAAGTGAACAATAGAGCTAGGCTTAAAACATGCATATACACTATCATACATTAAGTGAACAATAGAGCTAGGCTTTTAAAAAATGCTATACACTATCATACATTAAGTGAACAATAGAGCTAGGCTTAAAACATGCATATACACTATCATACATTAAGTGAACAATAGAGCTAGGCTTAAAACATGCATACACACTATCATACATTAAGTGAACAATAGAGCTAGGTTCAAAACATGCATATACCACTATCATAAAATTAAGTGAACAATAGAGCTAGGCTTAAAACATGCATATACACTATCATACATTAAGTGAACAATAGAGCTAGGCTTAAAACATGCATATACACTATCATACATTAAGTGAACAATAGAGCTAGGCTTAAAACATGCATATACACTATCATACATTAAGTGAACAATAGAGCTAGGCTTAAAACATGCATATACACTATCATACATTAAGTGAACAATAGAGCTAGGCTTAAAACATGCATATACACTATCATACATTAAGTGAACAATAGAGCTAGCTTTAAAAATGCATTACACTATATACATTAAGTGGGAAAAATAGGCTAGGCTTAAAACATGATATACATATCATACATTAAGTGAACAATAGGCTAGGCTTAAACAGCATTTTACCTATCATACATTAATGAACAATAAAGCTGCTTAAAAAAATGCATATAACTATCATACATTATGTGAAACAAAAAGCAGGCTTAAAACATGCATACACACTATCATACATTAAGTGAACAATAGAGCTAGGCTTAAAACATACATACACACTATCATACATTTAGTGAACAATAGAGCTAGGCTTAAAACATGCATACACACTATCATACATTACTTACCCTAAAATATTTTCATCGTTAGCTTATAACAAGTGGTGAATATATTTACTGTATGATTTTTTTTTTTTTTTTTTTTCAACAAGTCGGCCGTCTCCCACCGAGGCAGGGTGACCCAAAAAAAAGAAAGAAAATCCCCAAAAAGAAAATACTTTCATCATCATTCAACACTTTCACCACACTCGCACATTATCACTGTTTTTGCAGAGGTGCTCAGAATACAACAGTCTAGAAGCATACACACACAAAGATACACAACATATCCCTCCAAACTGCCAATATCCCAAACCCCTGTATGATGTCTTCAGTAAATTAAGAATGGGTATAACTGAACACGGCTGCATTAGCAAAACGCTGTAAAGAGCAGCACTGTAAAGCGGGGCCCTTCTGTATAGGTCTAATGAAATCTCAGATGAAGACCAGTATCGAGTGATCATGCTCAAAGTTTCAATTAAACAAAATAACGGCTTTATCTAATGTTTGCCAATTTTTGTTCATTGTATAAGTCCACCCCAAATTTTGTATTATTAAATAAAGCTTCAAAAGTAAAGTCATATAATACAATTTATAGTAGTCAAACTTATAAAGTTAAGAACTGTGTCAATAATTCATTCAAAGTCAGAGGCTAAAAGTCACAGCAAATTTTGGCAAAAGGGCAAATCTCCCCCCTATTCAGGCAAAAAAAATAAGTTGGCGAGTTCTACGTCAAGACACCGAGGCCATACAAAGTGCGTCACCAAGGTAAAACTGGCCAGTGTTGAGGAAGAACCACAGTATGTTTAAAATGAACAGTGGAACAGATGGGATTAGAGCTCATGACAAGCAAGTCGTAAAACTCCAGGCCGGTGCGCAAGCCACTGGGCCAGCTGGCTACAATAAGACTCATCCAACCACAAATGCATTTGTGGTCAAAGACAAATGCAAAGTTCTAAATGTTGGACATGAAAATAACCATGTCACATATAAACTAAATAATATAGATCTTAATACTGCTGATTGCAAAAAGGATTTAAGAGTTCTGGTTAGCAGTAATCTAAAACCAATACAACAGTGCATTAGTGTTCTCAATAAAGCGAACAGAATCCTTGGCTTCATATCTAGAAGTATAAATAATAGGAGTCCTCAGGTTGTTCTTCAACTTCATATATCCTTGATTAGGCCTCATTTAGACTATGCTGCTCAGTTCTGGTCACCGTATTACAGAATGGATGTAAATGCTCTGAAAAACATACAGAGAAGGATGACAAAGTTGATCCCATGTATCAGAAATCTTCCCTATGAGGATAGACTGAGGCCCTGAATCTGCACTCTCTCGAAAGGCGTAGAATTAGGGGGGATATGATCGAGGTGTATAAATGGAAAACAGGAATAAAGGGGATGTAAATAGTGTGCTGAAAATTTCCAGCCAAGACAGGACTCACAGCAATGGTTTCAAGTTGGAAAAATTCAGATTCAGGAAGGATATAGGAAAGTACTGGTTTGGTAATAAAGTTATGGATGAGTGGAACAAACTCCCCAGTACAGTTATTGAGGCTAAAACGTTGTGTAGTTTTAAAAATAGTTTAGATAAATACACGAGTGGGAGTGGGTGGGCGAGAGTTGGACCTGATAAGCTTGTGCTACTAGGTCTGATGCCTTGCTCCTTCCTTAAGTGGCAGTGACCTGACTAGGTGGGCCATTGGGCTAATCTGGGGGAGGGGGGGATAAACCTGCTTTGCATGGGCCAGTAGGCCTGCTGCAGTGTTCCTTCTTTCTTATGTTCAAAGTGGTGGTCCATGTTAACCTTCCTATGGTGTATGAATATACCTAGTTGGACAAATCTTATTGTAGCCAGCTGGTCCACCGGTTAACACACTGGTCTGGAGTTATTAGGACTCACTTGCCATAAGTTCTAACCCCACCCATACTGTGGTTTGTTTACAATTGTGCTATTATGATTCTGCAAGTTGTGTTGAACATGGTATATAATATGGTATATAATACCAACAAGTTGAAGAACAAGACATATGTGCAACAGTTGGGTATCTTTTTTGTTGACTGGAATGTTTTGCCTACACAGTAGACTTCTTCAGTCAAATACAGCGACAGCAAGTGTGGTAGCAGATGATGTAATCAGTTCATCAACCTTGGAAAAAAGTTTATGAGGTGGTCAGTCCCTTAGTCAGTCAGCTCCATAGTCTGGAACATTGTTCCAGACAATGGAGATGAACAATCAACACTAAAGATACCCAACTGCTATACATATGACTTACCCTTCAGGACCAGAGTAAGGGTAACCATCCCCTTGCTTTAGTCTCAGTAACTTTCCATACACAAGTGAAACAAAATCTTAAACATCCAAAAGAATTATTAAAAAACGAGAGTTTTTTTTTCAACAAGTCGGCCGTCTCCCACCGAGGCAGGGTGACCCAAAAAAAAAGAAAGAAAATCCCCAAAAAGAAAATACTTTCATCATTCAACACTTTCACCACACTCACACATTATCACTGTTTTTGCAGAGGTGCTCAGAATACAACAGTCTAGAAGCATACACATATAAAGATACACAACATATCCCTCCAAACTGCCAATATCCCAAACCCCTCCTTTAAAGTGCAGGCATTGTACTTCCCATTTCCAGGACTCAAGTCCGACTATATGAAAATAACCGGTTTCCCTGAATCCCTTCACTAAATATTACCCTGCTCACACTCCAACAGATTGTCAGGTCCCAAGTACCATTCGTCTCCATTCACTCCTATCTAACACGCTCACGCACGCTTGCTGGAAGTCCAAGCCCCTTGCCCACAAAACCTCCTTTACCCCCTCTCTCCAACTCCAAGAGAGTATAGGTGTAAAAAGAATACTGAACGTTATTATTAAAATTAGTTCTAAAACTTAGAATTCACGAGACAAAGAAAACATTAGCAGTCTCACCAACAGTGCAGAATGTTTAGTTTCACTTCAATTTAGAATATTTAACAAAATTTACTTTCCTTACTCATATTCAAGGCTAATAACACTTCAGCCACAGCCAAGAATATTTAGAGACTTTCACTATTGATATTAAAGGTTAATACCACCTCAGCCGAGAATGTTTAGAGACTTTCACTACTCATATTAAAGGTTAATATCGCTTCAGCTGAGAATGTTTAGAGACATTCACTACTCATATTAGAGAATAATAGACCTTATGACTGGCTATATCTTATTCTCTCTCTGTTCATAACTTATACTAGAACTCACCTTTAATTTTAAGCTGAGCTGCTGCTTTAAGGAGTCCAGGAAGATCACTGGATTTAACGAGAGTTTCTCCTTTGTACATATAGTTGATCAAACCTCGAAGTTCTTGAATGGTAATATCCCGGAGAACGATAACTGGATTTGCATGCATCACCGTTTTGAACATTTCCTCAAAACTCTCACTGTGGGATTGAAAAGAGATATGACAACACTCAACTACCTAAAATAGAATAAAAAAGTACATAATCACTAGAAAGAATACAGAGTGGACCCCAAGCAAATATTATACAGGAGAGCACCGCACATACAGCTCCTCTTTTCGGTGTTCCATGTTTTTGTTGGCTTTCAATTGAGCTATAATAATAATAATAATAATAATAATAATAATAATAATAAAATAATTTATTTTGACATGATGCATGGTTGTACAAAGGAATATAATAGTTGGGTGTACATGCCAAAAGCCCCTTTGTATGCACAGCATTTCAGGCAAACTTAAAATTAACTTAAAATTAATAATGCAATAACAGTTCATACTGTTCATCATGTTTTCTGCTTTTACCAAGTTTCCACCGTTTTCAACAACAGTTGCACAAGGCGACACGAAAATTTTTATTTCCATGCAAAGCTTACACATAGGTAGTAGGTTGGTAGACAGCAACCGCCCAGGGAGGTACTACCGTCCTGCCAAGTGAGTGTAAAACGAAAGCCTGTAATTGTTTTACATGATGGTAGGATTGCTGGTGTCCTTTTTTCTGTCTCATGAACATGCAAGATTTCAGGTACGTCTTGCTACTTCTACTTACACTTAGGTCACACTACACATACATGTACAAGCATATATATACACACCCCTCTGGGTTTTCTTCTATTTTCTTTCTAGTTCTTATTCTTGTTTATTTCCCCTTATCTCCATGGGGAAGTGGAACAGAATTCTTCCTCCGTAAGCCATGCGTGTTGTAAGAGGCGACTAAAATGCCGGGAGCAAGGGGCTAGTAACCTCTTTTCCTGTATATATTACTAAATGTAAAAGGAGAAACTTTTGTTTTCCTTTTGGGCCACCCCGCCTCGGTGGGATACGGCCGGTGTGTTGAAAGAAAAGCAAAGCTTACAATGTGTGCTTTATGTATTACAAAATATTAATTACAAAGAAAGCCACTAGCATGCCTAGGCATTTCGGGCAGACTAATCGAATTCTTACTGACTATGTTGACACAGGTTATGGAACAGTACATTTTAATGTTTATTATTGCATACTGATATAAAAATTAGGTAATTAAGGTAAGTATTGCATGTACTGTACATTTATTTTATATTTTTATCTGTTTTTTATGCTTAGCTCTATTGAGCACTTAACCCTTTGACTGTCGCAACCCCCAATCCTGAGGAGTCTCCTGGTGTCGCAAAATTTAAAAAAAAAAAAAAATTGTTTTTTCTTATGAAATGATAGAGAATCTTTTCCAAATTGTAATGACACCAAAAAAAAAACGAAATTTGATGGAAAACTGACGTAATTATGCTCTCGCGAAGTTAGCGACCTCGGCACTGTTTACAAATTGGTGATTTCGCCCACTTTGAGCCCTATTTTCGGCTAATTTCCCAAAATGTTCCAGCGCCCAAATTTCATAGTTTTTTTTAGAACCCCATTTTTTCTATCGATTGAGTACAAAAAAACTGCCCATTTCCCAAATTTTTAACTCCCTAATATTGGGTCAAAAATTTGAAATTTTTGGCCAATTTCACGGAAATTAAAAAATATGAAAATTTCAAAATAAGGCCAAAATGAAAAAATGCAGACTTCCTAGCTCTAAAAAAAACATTTTTTTTGCTCATCAGTCTGTCCCCAGGCCCCTCTGATATTACTCTTGCTTTCTTTTTGAATTTTATTAAAACAAAAAATAGAAGACTTATATTATGCAGACTACTGCAATCTGTAAAAATTGTAAAATAACTAAACCATTCGTGCGCTATTAAAATGGCTATTTGGGGGAATTTTATTGGAAAATGGCATATTGTTTACTTTGAACATTGGCAAAAATCAAACATTTCCCCTACTTTGAGTCCTTTTTTTAGGTTCTTTTTATAGTAAAATCAATCAAAACACCTCTATTTTTTTTTTTATGTTTTTCCTTTTCAAATAATAAAGGGGGAAAAACGAGAATACAACCTAAAACTTACGAAAAATAGCCACAAAGTGGTTTTTAAAAAAAAAAAAAAACGGTCGGAGTTTTTTTTTTTCTGTGAGGGAAATTTCAATAGATAGGGTAGCAATATGTAACAAAAGTTTCATTGCGGCCCTACAGTTAAGGTAGGGTAAGTGCGTTTCCCGTTTTTCCCGCCTTTTCTCCCCCCCCCTAAAAGTGATAGTTTGATTCCCGGCTGCTTGTTAATTTGGGTCAGTCTAGCCCCCGCTACCCCTTCCCCTCCCTCTTTCCCCCCCCAAAAGGTGACGTGTGGGGTTTGGGTTTCAAACAGAAATCACTCGATCGCAGCTCCCAAACTCTGTAGTACAGCCTCCCTTTTTCTAGTGGATTTATTGGTTAAAAGCTTCACTTTTGAAAAAAACTTAGCCCTTTTTGTCTTCTCTAGGTTGAGTTGTAATAATCCCCAAGTCTTTTGAGTAATGACACTGCCATGGAGAGTGATTATTAAGCAGTGGGAACCTGTATTTTTAGCTTGGTGACAGTGAGGGTCACCTGTAAATAAAACGACGAACAGAAGGATTAAGTCCTGGAGCGCCCCCATTTTGTATTAAATCCTGTGCACCTGTTGAAAATTGCAGGATGTAACCCCAATCATTGCAGGGGTTTAAAAAACCTGCTTTCCTGTATCGGGAAAAATAATCAGGGCGATTCTCTGTGAAGAAAGCCAGTGGGGGTCCCCAACACCTGCGACCCCCCCCCCCCCCCCCATCTCAGAACGGTCGATTTAAAACAACACAGTGTCCCCAACCCCCCGGCCCCCCTATTTTTTGAATTCAGTTTTTTATATTTTTTTTTTTCTTTTTTCTTTAATTTGGATTAAATATTTATTTTTAAAAGGTTTTTTTATTTTTTTAATTTTTTAAAATAAAGTGTTTATTTTTTTGTCTGTTTTATTTCTTTTTTTTTCCCCTAATTTTCTGAGGAGGAGCCAGCCGGGAAATCTGTCTGAAGTTTTAAGGGCGGAAAAGCTTCAAAAGTGGCACCTTGCCAGATCAACTCTACTGAATCAAGTTCAACTCCATTGAATCTCCCTTTGGGAAAACTTAAAACGCTGCATCACAGGGGGTTACCCCGCCAGAGTAATCTTTTTCTTTTGGGGGATACGTAAGGTATTTAAAGTTTGGGTTGTTTAGTCCCCAAAATTTTTGTAAGTCAAGTCAGGCAGGTTTTAATATTTATTTGCCCCCTAATTTATGTAAGCTTGAAAACTTTGGGGATTAGGCTCTAGGGACCCAGATTTTCCGTGACAAATTTTTTTCATTGAGTCTTTTTTTTATAAGGGGAAAAATGTCATGGCACTCTTGATTTGTTGGTGGAAGTTGGATGGTCAAGGATCCATTCTATTACGTTTGCTCGGAGCCGGCATAGAACCCTTCGTTTTTATTAAAAAAAATTTTTTATTTAAGCAGGGATCGAGCCCCCTTTTTTATTTCAGTTTTAGTGGAGCAGGTTTTAACCCCCCATTTTCTTTTTACCCGTTTATTTCCCCTGATGTTTAAGTTATTCTTGCAAACTGGAGGATCCAAAAAAACGTAATAAAAATTAAAAAAGGGGAAAATTTTAAAAAAAGACCCCAAAAAAAAAAAAAAAAAAAAAAAAAAGAAGAAAAAAAAAAAAAGAAAAAAGAAAAAAATAAAAAAAAAAAAGGGGGGGAAAAAAAATTAAAAAATCCGAGAAAAGGGGAAGGGTTTGAAAAGGAAAAGACCAAAAGGGTGTAGACTTGAAAGGGGAGAGAGAAAAAGAGTGAGGAAAAGAAAAAAAAGGAGGAAAGGTAAAAAAAGGGGAAGGAGGAAAGAGAAAAATAGAGAAAGTTGAGGAAAAAAGCTAAAAGAAGTGAAAAAAGAAACTGGAAAGAAAAGAGAAAAGGAAAATTGGACTGAAAAACCGTGAATTTTTTGAAAAAAGTTAACTTTTAAAAACAAATTAGAGGGGGAGAATGGAAAAAATCATGAGGGTCAGTTAACTTTTCCCAAAACCAAAATTTACCCCCTTCCCCCAGGGGGGAAGCAAACTTCAACATTTCAGGGGTTTTAAAAAACGTACCCCTGTGAAAGGTGTTGAACTGGGCTACCAGGTTTTTGGAATGTTATTTTTGGTACAGCTTTGAATTTATGCAAAATTTGTCACAGGATATTATGAATTTAACTACAAAGAAGGCAATCCCTTTAAAAACATTAAAAAAACCACTAATTCTTTTCAGGGAAAAAATTTCAGGTATGCCACCCTTTAAACCTGGCCAGAAACTTTCAAAAGTTACAGGTAACCCTTTTTTTGTTTGTTCGACTTTTGGTAGATAGTTAAGGAATTGATCACAGTTATGAATCCCCCGGGCCCCCATGGGTTTTGCCCGTTCTGACGCTCTTCCCACCAAATAGAAATTCATCAGGAAAAGAACCTGATTAAGCTGAGGAAGTTGCGGGCTGTGACCTGTATGCTGGGGTCAAATTCCCATAAAGACCTAAAAGGGTCGAACCCTAAGGGTAAGGGTTCATCAGACCTTGAATCAAGCTTAGGGAAAGTAAAATGGTTCTTTTTTTCCTGTTTTTCTTTGTGGGTGTTAAGGGACATTTTAAAGTCCCGATTGTCCTTTAAGAAGGTCCAAAAAATTGGAAAATGTTTTTAAAGATGTAATGACCAAGACCTTTGTTCAGGAACAGTTAATGGACTTAAAGTATCTCCATTTACGAGACACTGGATGCACGATAGTATTTTGATAAGCTGTTCCCTACCTTAAAGAAAATCTTCCTCTGCTATCTTTCAGACTATTGGGCCGTTCGGGGCACTTTTCCTCCTGTTGTTTCATTGTCAATGGTTCACAGGTTGGTCTGAAGCAGTACTAGTCCCTCCTTCTTGTCCGTACTATAGGTAATTTTAAAAGGGGCCATTCTTCCTTTGAGGTTGACCTTTCATCACAAAAAATGGATCAAATGTTTAGATCCCCTTTTCCCGTGGAGTCAGAGAGCCCCCCGAAAGTTCGT